ACTCTACGGTGCTTGCACTAGAAATCACATTTTAAAATCCAATTCTTCACGCAGATGTTTTTTAACCAAATTAATTTCATCAATTTAATCCAATTCCCCGAGCCTTGTTTTTTTAAATATCGAGAGCATCATCATTTTTATATCATAAAAACAGAGTAAATGTATATTTAGTCATGTTCTCCGTCCTGCAGAATGAGCTCCCTACAGAACTGTCCGTGCAGGTTTATAGTTCATGGTCACGGTTCAAATTGGGACGCAGGATGCTTTCTCTCGTCAGCATTTTCCTCCTTATTACTGCCAACACGTTCAGCCTATTTACGGCGGTCTAGTGTGTGTTCCCTCTGAACCAATCCAATGACTTTTTACACTACATGTCACAATGAAGGCCTCAACAACCATTAACCGCTAGAATATTGGTGTTCCGAATGCTGCAGTTTAATATTTCTCCAGGAATAAATTAGCCCACTTAAACGCAAATTAGCTAATTGCGTCATCGTGGCTGGTGACTGGAAAACGAGCGCTGCCAAAGACCCGTCGTATAGGAAGCAGCCGAGCAGCACAGTCCATACAGAAGTGAGCGACCTTATATCTCGATAAAAATACCAAAAGGTCACGGAGCAACAAACCACCTTCATCTATCGGTGATGCTGTTCCAGTGCTCGTTGTTTGTGTTGGTGTGCACATATTTATGCATTTATTAATGCTGTACTGTGAATACCAAAAAGGCCATGACAGGAGCTGCACCAACCGCTCTACCGGAAAAATAATTATCTCCACTTTACAGATCAGCTGGAAATGCCACACCGTGTAAGAACACAAACGAGTAAAGACGAGTTACTCATGACACGGCATTTTCCAGTTCATCTCTCAAATAGTTTTTGGCCTTTCTACACACTGGCTTTCCAGAGAAAACGTTTTCCTGCTTACTGAACGGAGTTTAAACATTACCCAGAAGTCCTTTAGAAGCGTCGTGACAAGCGAGGAGACTTTGTCATCACAGCGCGGGTATATTATCCATCTCACAAACACGCGCTCCTTTAATTACCGCCATTCTTTTTGCTTACATTAAAGCAGCGTGTGGGATCGGAATGAGATGAGACTTAAGTGTGTTTTTGTGTCCGACGTATAAACTTTCATCCATCTGTCTGTCTAAACAGAAGCGGCAGCACAATATTTCATGCTATTTTTTTCCTCAGCACTTAGAGCAGAGGAGAGAGAGAGACAACCACGCAGTGTGGCTTTTTAGTTAAACTTCAGCTCATTGTTTCACAAGACGGCGGCATGATGCAGCATGTGATCCAGTCAGTTTGTGATTCTGTTTTACCGATTTACTACTTTGATGTTTTTAGCCACAGGTGTTGGCCAAATCCACTAGTGTCAAGATTTTAAGGATTATAACTTTGATGAGAAAATCCCAAAACCTCCCGTCTTGATTTTTTCACCATCCATATGTTCTGGCCCCACACAATGATACCCTAGGTTGTGTATCACAGGCTCTGTTGTGGATTATGTTGTACAGTGGATTATAGGATTAACGTATACTGACATAATCAGACACTGACCAGTGTGCTCCACCAGAAAAAGCACTCTGAACCTCGGTGTGACGAACAAGGACGTGGAGGAGGACAAACCCGGCAATAACTAACCGAGAGATTTGACCTTCTCTGGTGGAATTTACACAGCTTGATAAATCTTTATTACTCCATCAAGGTCACATTCAACAATAAGTCTATTGGCAGTGAGGCTTTATTCTACATACATTTACAGCTCTGTCATTCTTAAAACGTAGGTTTTGTGATAGATTGTGTTTTCCCACCTTCCATCCAGTTGCCGTTTTCCATTCATGAAAAATGTCTTCGTCAATCTAAAAACCACTGTATGCTTTGGAAGTTTGAGGACATATTCAGTCAACAACTACGGAAGGTAGCCTAGCTTGTGCAGTACTTCTGGCTAAACCAGCAGTGCCAGTTTTTCCCAATAATAAAAAGGTGCAAAAAGTTACTTTCCAATTTAAAAAGTTTCATTTTGTGTTGATTTTGGCAGCCCCTGTGGACAAAGGCGGTAGTGTTTTGTGTCCTAAAGATCTGCAGCTGCCAAACTCACTTTAGAAAACCTCTAACACAACACAACAATATCTATCTAAGGTGGCAAACATTAGCAATTATCAGCAACTAATTATACCGGAACAAAGTGGTGGAAGTTCTCTGTAAACTGAACAGTACAACCAAAGCCCTACAAGGTAACACAACTCCCCATTCCATTCTCAAACGTAACACTTTGAAGTTTGTTTGAAGTGTCTTTAAATATTAAATCAGTTACTTCTTGTCCAAATATTTACTTTTCCAAAACCACTATTTGACATTAGCATAACCCCTCACGGCACTCATTTAAAAAGAAAACGTTTTAGAGCCGGTTCACGGTGGTGAAGAACACCAGGAGCAAACAGTTGATATTTCATTCAAACTAAATCATGACTGGTGTGTTGCCTGCAAGCCAAATTAATCGGAGCACACAAGGCCAAATTGTCTCTGGCGCTGTGCTCACTCCACATAAAATGCGCTGTATTACATAAATTCCAGCAAACTTAATGAAGAATGCTGAGAACAAACACAAGAAAGCCTCCACAGAGCATTCCAACATCAGAGAACTGGATGCACTGCTCAGTTTTACCTTTCATGCATTGAAACATATATATGTATATTGTTATGAAAAACACTTAAGACGTGTGAGGTAAACATCCTCCTGCTCTGTCGCTCACTCCCACACACACACACACACACACACACACACACACACACACACACACACACACACACACACAGTCGCTCTTTGTCTCTCACAGACAGCTCAGTGATCCACAAAACATTGTGACAGCCTCGTTCCACCCATGCTGACAGCCTCGCTCACACTCACGGCAATCAGTGCAGCTCCTTCACAGTGGGATTGTAGGAGTCCCTGTCAAGTGGCTTATGCGTACTTGGAGGTGTACGCTAATCCCGTTACAGTGTGATAATGTATTCATGCGTTTGTGGATGTTGGTGGAGATCCTGGGAGACACAATTGCACATAAACCCTGTTTTCCTAAATAAGATTAAAAAAGGCACGTTCAGCATGATTTTTATGTTTTTGTTGTATTTGACACTGCTGCTTTTATAAAGGTGCGATATGTTTAAGAATTGGCCACATGCGAAAAACAAATAGGTGTCAGAATTTCACCTCAATAATGGCAACATATACTCTAAACTTACCAGTCACCAGTTGTAAAAACTAAAATAAAGCCAAATATTTACTAACAGCAGGGCAAGAATACGCAAAACTCAACCAAATTGCTGAAACTTTGAGAGCTGGCCAAAGTAAAACTGCTATTTTTGTGTTTACTTTGACACTAAAGTGCGAAGGAGAGTCGGGAGGAGAGACGGACCTTCACTTAGCAGTTAGCTGTGGCAACTAGCATTCAGCTAATGCAAACCCCAGCGCCAGAAGTCACAGCTGGCTGTTGGAGCTCACATGTGTAACAACTACAACAGAAAGTTTGCTGATCTATAGTGACTATCGGCTCTCAAGGTATAAGCGGTATTACAGAATGGGGTTAGCTTTAGCATG